AATAAAGTATTATTATTTTCTTAATTTTAGTATCTTTATGGTTTCACGACATTTATCTGAGGCTTTCTTTGAGGCATCTTTGACTTCTTTGTTCCTCAGACTATAGATTAGGGGGTTCAACATGGGGATCACCACTGTGTAGAATACAGAAGCCATTTTGTCTGTGTCCAAGGAGTGGTTTGATTTGGGCTGTAGGTACATAAAGATCAGCGTGCCGTAGAAGATAGTAACAGCCACCATATGGGAGCTGCAGGTGGAAATGGCTTTGCGTCGCCCCTGGGTAGAGCGGATCCTTAGGATGGCAGCAATGATAAAGATGTAGGAGGTGAGGACAATGGAAGATGAACAGATCATATCAAAGCCAGCAAAGGCAAAAATCAGAATTTCCTTCATGCGTGTGTCTGAGCAGGACAACACTAAGAGAGGGAGGTCATCACAGTAGAAATGGTTAATTACATTGGGGCCACAGTAAGTCAGACGGAAAGTGATGATGGTATGGAAGAGGGCTACCAGGAAGCTATATATATATGGAATGGCCACTAGTTGAATGCAGACTCTTCTTGACATCATTGTTGAATAATGCAGGGGACTACAGATGGTGACATAGCGATCATAGGCCATGGAGGCTAAAAGGAAACATTCAGTGATCATGAAGGTGAGAAAACAGCCCAGTTGTGTTGCACAAGCATGGAAAAGAATAGTGTTGCATTCCACAACAAAATTCACCATCATCTTTGGTGTAATAGCAGAGGAGTAACAAAGGTCAACAAAGGCCAGGTGACTGAGAAAATAGTACATCGGGGTATGGCGTCGAGCATCAATCCTGATTAAGGTAATCAAGCCAAGGTTGCCTAGCACTGTGACGAGATAGATAACTAAAAACACCATGAAACATGGGGCCTGGAGCTCTGGCCGGTCTGTAATTCCTTTGAGAATGAATTCAGTAACATAAGAGATATTATTACCTTTTGCCATGTATTCCAGAAGATTTTGTGGACTTTGCTGCAGTTGAAGGATGATACTTCTCACAGCCCCTGCCAGTGTTGGGTAAAGGTGTTCAATGAATCTTCTTGCCTTGAATCATATCATCATGTAGGCAAAAATGTGCACAGTGACTCTAATGATACGCCATTCTTGCCTCAGGAGGGGAGTCGTTTACTATCAGAATAGTTTTCTTAAGAGCTTTTGCTTTGTGAGTTTAGAAAAATAAAAGAGAATGTTGGTTTAAAATAAATGTCATGAGAGCAATTGATACCACTAACACTAATATCTGAGAGTTTTTGCTGCCGCTATCTTTCCCATGCATATAAACACATAGCAGCACAGAAATAATTAACCTATAAATGTAACTACATTTTATCTTCCTACTTTTCCATTGTGTGCATTCTCCCATAAAATATATCAAACATATTGAAATAAATTTATATGCTAGTATATATCAAAATCATTCTATATCTAGCATGATCTACTCACTTTCCTATATTTCT